TAATTACAGCATGTCAGAGCAGCCTCCCAGCAGGCACCCTAGCTGCAAGAGTATCAGTAAATTTGATGGTTAAGCAAACAAAACAAATCCACCTCCCCCTATACAGGCAGAGAATTGCCCTGGCTCAAGGTTGCTCAATCTCATCGTTAAAATTTGAGATTATTTTTTTAACCCCCAAATACCCAATGATTACAGTAAAAAGTACTCCCCGTCTGATTTATGGTATAAGAATTCACACCTACAGGATATGATGGCACAAGAACATCAGCTTCATGCTTGACAATGCATCTAGCTGTGAATTATTAGGAAATAGTTCACACCTTGCCATATCTTATTGCTTAATTTACACTGGAAATCTACCCTTTTGCCTTTATGTATTGGAGTGCTGAATTCATAAGCAACTGAATACCATTTTTGTTCTAAAAGGAAGTGAACTGGGCATTTTCTGGTATCTTTTAGCCAGCATTTGTTAGTTAATTGTTATTGATGAACAAAATTATGAGAGTGCAAAAGAATGTCATATATAAATTGCAGATAGTTGCCTTTGTGTGAGGGTTCAGCTAGAACATAGGCAGCCAGGCCTGTGGATGGGACCTGAGGGGCAACTAGGAGGTCAGTACAGCAGGAGCACAGGTTGCCTGAATGGGGAGCATGGGATCAAGTTCCAGGGGAGCTGAGAGAAGAGATCTGAGAAACGTAGTCTGAGACACAAACCAAGGTCAGGAGCCAGAGGTTAGAGAATATGTGCCAAGTTCCAGGAAAGATCCAAGATCAGGGTTTAGGAAGCCAAGCCAAGTCAGGATGCTAGAAAAACCAAAGGGCAGAGCCAGTGCCATTTCAGGTGAGATCCAAGATCAGGGTCAGGAAAAGCCAAAGACAAATCAGAAGTAAGGACAACTAGGAAAAGCAGTGAACACAAGGCTTGCCAGAAAAGACTGAAGCCGTCTCAAGGCATGCCTACATGACACTGCAGGTGTGTCTAAAAAGGGTGCGTGTTGCTTTCAGCAGCCAGGCAGGGTTGGAGAAAACTGGAGCAGTTGCATTTGCCAGGGATCAGGGGCAGGTATATTAACTCAAGTGCTTGGCCCAGCCAGGCCTGCTAAATCAGAGTCTCTGACAGTATGTTCACCCTTTACAGGGTTATCTTCCAGAAGGCCTGAGACCTGGCTTTTCTGGATACTTCTAATGGAAATCTTGTACTAGTTTGGGGGGGTGTACTAGTTTGGGGGTGTGAACATGGTAGGCTGGTTCCCAAGATCATTCTTCTGTGCCATAGCCCTCCCAATTTATCAAGTAGTGGAGCTTGCCTCAAATGCATTTGGAGTCTAAAATTTGCTTTATCATGTATTCTTCAAGTCCTTTCACTATCATGGGTAGGGGAGAGGGGCTAGGTGGTCAGGAAAGGAATTCTCGATGAAAGGTTTGAGTAGGGATACAGAGAAAGTGGGGTACATTCAATATCTCTGGTGGCTGGAGCTTGAATACAACAGGGCTTATTTGTTCCACAACCTTGAATGGGCCCAGATAATGGTGATCCAGTTTGGCTGATGGTTTCAGGATCTTGACATTCTTTGAAGAGAGCTAGACCTTGTCACTGATTGAAATGGTGGGGCTGGGCTAATGGTGTCAGTCAGCTTGGTTTTTATACATGGTCTTGGCTGCATTAGCTCTGGCTGATCTTGTGGGAGATGCAATACAAGACCATTCACTGCGGGGACCCATAAGAAAGTAGGCAGTGCTGGTTGGAACTGAGGATGGTATCAGTAGTTGGAGAAAGAGGGTTGAGCCTGTGGAAGTATGGATGGTATTGTTATATGAGAATTCTGTTAGGGGAAGCAAGGATACCCAATTATCCTGATGAAAATATAAACAGCATCTGAGGTATTGCTCAAGGGTCTGATTTATGCGCTCAATTTGACCGTGAGTTTGAGGGTAATACGTGGACAAGTGAAGAGATTTCACATGCAAGGCATTACAGAACTTGTGCCAGAAGTGTGAAATAAACTATGGGCCATGATCAGAGAGCACCTGAAATGGACTGCTGTGTAGGCAAAATGTATCTCTCAGAAATAGGTGGGCCATTTTGCTGGCAGTGGGGACAGCCTAGATGGGGACAAAATGGGCCATCTTAGTTAATACATTCACCATGTCCATAATTCTGGAGCAGTGCTCAGAATGCAGGAGGTCCACAATGAAATCTACTGAAAGCACTAACCATGGTAGTGTGGGAGTGGGTAATGGTTGGAGGAGATGATCCAGCCTGGTTTCAGGTTCCTTGGTTCAGGCACATGTAGTGCATGAACAGACATACTGTTTAACATTATGACTCATTCAGGACCACCAGAACTGCTGAGCGACTAAGAACTGGGTCTTGGTAAGTAAAAAGCCTCCCATGGGAGGGAAGTCAGGACAAAGCTGTAATATTCTGTCCAGGACATACAGGTGCTGTCAGGAAAAAGAACCCTCCTGAGCCACTGAACAGTGGGTTGGGATGGCCCCATTAAGTGGCAGTTTTTTAGCAAGGGGGTCATCTACGAAGCCTTTTTGGATGGCTGAAAGGAGGCTTAGCTGAGTAGTTCCCTAAATGAAGTTCTTAGGCTGAAGAATGGTAGATAGTGGCAATGGGTCTAGTGCAGAGGGTTCATCCTTAAGGACAGGATATCTACCTTCTGGTTCTTGGTTCCTGGTTGATATGCAATTATGAAATTAAAATGGGAAAAGAAGAGTGACCAGCAGACCTGTTGTGAATTCAGTTTCTGGCTCATCTAGACATATTCCAAGTTTTTATGGTCCATCATTACCTGGACAAGGTGGTGGTAAGCTCCTCCAGAAGATGCCACCAGTCCTCAAAGGTTGCCTTGATCACGAAGAGTTCCAGGTCCCAAATACTGCAATTCCTTTGGAGGGAGTCAGGGCCCGGGAATAAAGAAATCTGTCAGTCAGGGCCCAGTATCTAAGGAATCTGTCAGTCAGTAAGCAGCAACATGAGCCAAGGGTGCAGCAGCCTAAGTACAAAGTTGAGTCTTGTTGCCCAGACACTTCCTCTTCTGAGTCAAAGGAAGGGATATATTGGAAGTTATATTGGAAGGGATGAGGAGTCAGATGCCTCCAGCTGGCTACTCTAGCAGCAGGGAGTGGGCATGGTAGCCACCTGTGTCCAGCCCAATGCTCTGCTGAGGAGGTGGCAAACCAGGATGAGTAGCTGTGTCAGACAGGCTGAAGCCCTAGGTTCAAGGTCAGAGCATGACAGCAAGGGTTGAGTCCATAAAATTACTGGAGGCTCCTGTGTCTAAGATAGCTAGCATAAAGACATCCACCCCAGGCAGGTGATGTAGGTAAAGGGTGACGAGCAAGGACAAGCCTTGGGGTTTGGTAGCGCTCAAGAATTTACTATGAATTAGAGAGGCCAGTTAAATGGTCAGCAATGGGCCCAGACTATGTCCCGCTACTGAGGCTGGGCTGGGGAGTTTCTTGAAAAGGAGGGGGGAATTCCTTTCCTCAGGCAAAATGCCCCGACTCCTAGGCATTCCTTTCCTCAGGCAAAATGCCCCGACTCCCTACAATACAGTCAGAGGCCCTGGACATGATAACAAACCTTCTCTTCTGAGGGAGTCTTTTCTTTGCTGTGTTGGCTCTTTCAGGGCCCTAGCCAGCTCCGAGGGCTGAGATTCAGCCCAACCTTCCTGCTGTCACTCAGACAGATGGGCAACAATATGGATATTAAGATCAACATGTCTGTCCAAGGTAGCTGGGAGCTCCACACCAAGTCAATTCATCCTGAATGTGGCCCTGAAGTCCATGGTGGAAGTGGAAATGCTGACCTCATTGCACTCCTTGTCAGCTACCAACCGTCTAAACACAGCTGCATAACTTGATACTGGAAGATGCCCTTGTCTGAGGGTCTGGAGCACTCGCTCTGCAGTACAGACCCAATACAGGTTGCCAAAAATTTTGGCCGTGGCTCAGATAAAGTGGGAAAGCCCAGGCCAGGGTATTGCAACTCAGTAGACTGATGATCAGTTCCACCTTGATTGTATATGAAGGGTAGGTTCTAGGGCAGAGACTAAAAGTGAGGTGGCACTGATTAATGAACTGCTGGTGGCCCTGATTAATGAACTACTGGAAGCAGTGAGGGTCTCCATCAAATTTCTTGGGCAGCAGGACTCAGGGTTTGGGCCGAGCTGAGCAGGCTGGTTTCCCCCAGTGGGTGCAGAAGCAGGGTGCATTGGGTTTGCCGAGCTGTAATCTGGGTTTGCAGCCCCTGTAAAGCAGCCATCAGCTCACCCCCAGAAATCTGCCCTGGTGGTAGATCTGATCCCGCATACCACCATATGTTGTAATGTGCACCTTGCTGTGAGGGTTCAGCCAAGAGGAAGGCAGCCAGGCCTGCAGATGGGCTCTGAGGGGCAATT